CCGACTAATTCACCTAGACGGCAAACCAATTAGTCGGAGCGCCTAGACAAAAATCGGGGCGCCCGACCACCGCCTAGCGCCTAGGCGGGGACTAGTCGGACGCCTAAAACGATTTTTAGAACAGAGGTGTACCTTAATTCTCAGTACTTAAAATGACATCTATATTATGCAGGATGGATGCATTTAAATATCAAACAGAAAGATTGGTGAATGACTTGAAGAAAACGGCAGAGTACGCAGAAGAAAAGATAGAAAACATAGAGGCGCATGAGGAAGTTTTATTGCAGAACTCAAAGGAAATCCAAGATTCATTATCCGTGGTTGATCTAAGAACACAAAACCTAGAAAAGGCTTCCAAGAATGTGGAAGAACATGTGACCGTTGTCTTAGCTCATTCAAGGGAAATCCATGAGCATTCCAAGTCCATCGAGGCCTCTCAAAAGGAGTTAACAGATGAACAAGCACGTATGAAGATGAATTTAGTTGAGGGAATGGAGATTCTGCAAGCATCTTATAGTAGCCTTGGTAAAGAGATGAATGAGTTGAAGAGTGAGGCTGAGGAGATTCAGAAGGACATTGGTAAAGTTGGTAAGGAAATGAATTCAAAAATGAGAATTCTCCAGAGTAAAGCTGATGATATTGAAGTTATTGCTGGGGTATCTTTAGATAAACAGAGAGAACTCTTAGACATCCAGTCTGCTGCCCTTGATGGCCTTCAAATTCTCACCAACTTTCAATCTCAAGCTCTTGAAGAAAGCAGGTAAAACTAAATCAATAATGTCTTTTCTATTGTTAAAGTTTTTGTTGTTATAAATAAAAACCATTAGTTGTTTCTCGCACATCAGTGATATATATATAAAAACATGGAAAGTATTATGTGTTTGTGTGTTAATCTCTTAGAATGTTATTTTTGTACTGAATTGAAGGCGGTTTTTTAGTAAGTATATATAAATATTTAAGTAATGTGAAAAAGGAATCTTTAGGCCTTCGTGGGGCCTCTCATTCCTTTATTTTCCAATTTAAATTGCATCCTAAATCTAATGTTGCGGGTTTTTGGAATTAATCTATAGAGGAACTTTGCAACAATTGGTTGAAACTGGAGAAAAACAACAGGAGGAATTGCTTAGAAAGCAAGAAATGCTTCAACATGCTCATGATCACCTTGTTGAGAACTCAAAAATAATTCTAGCAGCTCAAGTGAGTATGAAACTAGTTCTGACTATGATCTTGGTCAATATTATCACATGATTAGGTATTAATGAAAAATGAATTGTGTGTTGTAGGAAGCATTTGAGTCCAAACAGGCAAGCATGTTTGTAGCTATAGACAAGCTCTTTGCATTACATAATGCTATTCTCTTGGAATCAAGGTTGATGAAAGCCTTCCTGGTTTATTCCTTGTCAATCTTTCTCCTCTACATGCTCACTAGTACAAAACAGACCTATAACGTTCGGCCTCGCCTTTATATAGGTACAACATTACATGCAAGAACTTCGCTTCTCGTTTTAAGAATCATTTCTAATGCTAAACAAAGTGGTCTAACTAATTTATTTTCTATGATTTTTAGGGTTGTGTGTTACATTCTTGATTGAGTTCTGTATAGTTCGATATGGGACAGATGAAATGGAGAAGCAATCTTGGATCGTAGGCATGATCAGGTCTGTTTATGTGGCTTTGGCATCAATCCAACTTCTCTATGCAGTCTGGACACATCGGTATGGTTCTAATATACTACTTTGTTTAGACTGTTTTGATTTATTATGTCATTTCACATTGGTCGCTTATAAGAGTACAAATTAACATATTAAGAGTTGGCAATCCAAATACATAAATAGATTGATAAGCAGAGCCGTCTAATGAATTTGGAGGCCACGCTTCCAAATAACAAGGCCCCCTAAAACAAGGAAAAGTACAAAAATCTGACAATAAAATATAATTAGACTAGACAGTTCAATGAAATATAATTTTTATGATATTTAAAGTACACAAGTTTGAGAATCTAAAAGTTTTATACCTTTTGAAATCTTGAATAATACATAGCATCTACAAAAACAGCCTATAACTAATACTACATTCTAAATTTTTGGAGACCCTCTATGAGAGCGGGTCCCGGTGCAAAACAACTATTGTGCCTCCCAAAAGATGGCCCCGTTGATAAGAAAAGTAAGGATAACCTTACATATTAGTTTGTATCTTTATACTTCATAGGTGTTGGATGACATTTCAAATACACAAATAGGTCTTGGACTAATTTATTTCCAAATGCAACTAAAATGTACAGGGATTATGAGGTGTTGAACCATCAAATACTCTTGACACTGATGGAGAAGGTGAATGGCATTCAGACACATAAGCAAATTTCATGGGAGATAGATAGTGATTCAGAGAGTGAAGTGGAGTGGTGTTCATGGTTAGAGAAAGAGTTGCAAGAGGAGGTTGATAGTTTACTAGACCCTGACTATTTGTTGCCTGTAGAACAAGAAGCTTCAGAAAATTCTTTAGTAGAAAACAATAGTAGTTCAATTTCAACGGTGAGACAATATAATCTTCGAAATCGCAGCCTTCGGAGATTTTGATCACCATTGTTGATGATAAATGTAAAAATGTTTTCAACTTTGAGTTTTCCTGCTTGTAGCTATCCATCGTGTTCTAATTATTGTTTTTTCGTTGTGTAGTTAAGACTTAAGAGTAAACCATGCCATACGATAAGACATAGGGAGAAATTGAGATTTTTTGAAGAATAAAGGAAACACATATAACTAAATAAAAACCATACCTAAGGATGAAAATGGGTTGTTATGGTTCAATTAATCTAGCTTCAAAACTAATTTTGAATGCTTATAAATATGAAAGTGGTGATTTTTTAAAAATAAAATAAACTTGAACAAAATTTGAAGTTTTTCCAGTATAGGGGCCCTTTTAAAATTTATTTCCCAAAAAGGGGTACTTTTCGCCATGTCATCACCACAGCAATTCCACATTATCGCAAGTTCGCAACAATTTCATATCATCCAATTTAAGTGTTTAAGGGTTCGTTTTTGAAATAAATAAAAAGTAGACGTCTTAAGGGATTGATGAATTGGCGCCCAATAAGTCACTACATTGGATTATTGATGGACCCGGGCTGGGCCTAGGATCGGCCGGGCCTCGGTTCAGGAAAAGGGAGGACCGGAACCGGCCCTGGTAACCCCCGGGTCCGGTTCGGGCCGGGTCACCCGCCCGGTTCACGGGCCAGGCCGCCCGCCGGGCCGGGCCTTTTAATTTTTTTTTTAAAATTATATATTATACTATTATAATAATTCTTATTAAAAACAAAATTCAAGTGCATTTATTTGAAATAGGAAGTACATTTGAGAATTGAGAAAAAAATAACAATATGAAATACATTTTCTAATAAATATCAATTGGGATTTCCGCCACCGTTGGTTGTTGTTTTGCCTTTGTCACATGACTTCATATGTTTTATTGGCATCCCGACTCCGTGTGAACGCCCCAAGCAACACTCTTTCTTGCACCACTTGCAAGTTGCCCACCACAGTATGGTCTTCGGGTCCTTTCACTTATCAAAATTGTTTTGCATAAAAGAAGAATTACTTTCCATCTTTAAAATGGTAGATGTATAAGTAGAAATGTAGGATAATAAGAGAAGATGAAGATGGAGAAGAGTTGGAGAAGAGGTGTAGAAAAATGGTAGAAAATAGATGTATTTATAGATTTTTTTGAACCCCACACCCACACCACCACCCCCGGGACCCCCCTGCCCCCCACCCTAAGCCCCAACGGCTATATAGCCGTTTGGGAGCTATGTTGTAATTTAAAATGTTTTTAATTTTTTTTTTTTGAAAATTATACATTTTGTAAAATAAGTTAATTAATTTAATGAATTAAGTAAGTAAAACTATTTTTACTTAGAAAAGTGGTTTGATTTATAATTTACAAATGTTACAAAATAGGTGTATAAGTATTTAAAAAAAATACACATTCAAGTTGTAACTTGTAAGTTTGTAACCAATTAATTAATTTACATATTAATATTACATATTTTAATTTAAAAACAGCCTTTAGATTTTACAAAAATAATTTGAAGTTGTAAGTTATAAGTTTGTAACCAATTAATTAATTTGAGAAGTGCTACATATGAAAAAATAAACGCATATTTATTTGAAATATGAAGTACAAGTTTACAAATTAATTTTATTGAATTGATTATTGAATAAATGTTTTTTGAGAATTATTGAACAAATTAACTAATATTAATATGAGAAATGTAACAATTAAGTAGTTTAACTAATATTAATATGACAAGTGTAAGAATTCACAAGTTTTTTTTACTTTAATGAGCAATGTAGCAATTAACTAATATTAATATGAGAAATGTAACAATTAAGTAGTTTAACTAATATTAATATGACAAATGTAAAAATTTACTAGTTTTTTTATCTTAATGACAAATGTAGCAATTAACTAATATTAATATGACAAATGTAACAATTAACTACTTTAACTAGTTTTTAAAATGACAAATGTAAAAATTTACTAGTTCTTTTTACCTTAATGAGAAATGTATACTTTAACTAATATTAATATGACAAATGTAACAATTAACTACTTTAACTAATATTAATATGACAAATGTAAAAATTTACTACTTTTTTTATTTAATGAGAAATGTAGCAATTAAATAAGTAACTAGTTTAACTAATGTTAAATGATAAATGATATGTAACAAGTAACTATTTTTTTTTCTTCAAAGAGAAATGTAGAGAAATGTAACAATTAGCTAATTTAATAGATAAATGAGAAGTCTAACAATTAACTACTTTTATAAAATGTATGAATGTGTATAAGTCTATATAGTTTATATAACTTGTAAAGTATTATAAGTAATATATAATATAATTGTTGGTCCCAGTAAATGCAGACTAACGATCTACTAGATGGATTTCAACGATAAACAGAAAGAAGGAAGATCTGATAATGATAAGGCAATATCGAGAACAGAGAAATTCTTCTTCTATTATATCGAGAACTATTTGGGCAGCGTAAGGCTAGAGAATGTATTGATCGACATCGGTACCTGTACACAAGGCGCATATTTATAGGCGCTGTACAGGTTACCGATTTAGGTAAATCTTGAGGTTTGGGCCAAAGCCTTTTTGGGCCTTATTCCCTTTAACCTATTTATTACAAAATGATTACTAATCTAATACCATAAATGGTATAACTAGTCTACTTTATTAAACAAGACATTACAGACAAACTTGACTCACAATAAAAGTTCTAACAATCTCCCCCTTTGTGATCAAGTGTCGTCTTGCTGGGTTTCTTCACTTCTGAGCTTTGTAATAATTCTTTCTGAGATTAAGTGCATGCTCATAGCTTCTGAGTGAATTTCTTCTATCAAGTTGTTTCTGGATAGCCTGTAGAATGTTGTCAATTCTATGTGCCTCTTTCAATTCAGCATCTGTGGCATCTGCATACTTCTGCTGCTTCTCTTTAAATGCTTCTCTGATAGGTTGCAGTTTCTCTTTCACGATCTTCAGTGTTCCATCGCAATACTTGTTAATTTCATCAATGAGTAGCATGCGTTTCTCACCATTGTGATTCAGATAGATAAGCGTGATTGGACTATCAAAGATGTAATACTCAGGAAAGTCCTCAAGTTCTTGTCCATACAGCTTCGGTCTTGTGAGATTTGTCTTTGACATGTTTGTTTCAAGAGCCATCTGAAGATCATGAGAAGCAAAGAATTTGATTTGTCTGATCATAAAGCGCTTGAGTGCATCCAGCCCATTTTGCGTAGTTTTGTCACGAGTGCCTGGAATTTCTTGGAATGCAAGATACATCTGATAGATGTCATCCATCTTTAGCATATAGAGATCATTTTCCTTGCACGTGAATTCTGTTCCGTCAGAGCGCTGTAGATGGTAGACAGAGAGTTTGATATCTTGAAAGTTTGTTTCGCCCACGTTGAGAATAGCCCAGACTGGGTCTTTGGCAGTTTGAAGTTCGTGTTGCCAGACTTCTCTCTGTTTTCCCATATAGTGATGACCATTGTTCTAAAACTCGCTAGGCGCTAGTCGGGCGGTAGAGGGGCGCCTAGCGCCTAGGCGGCCGACTAGGCCGATTTTTCGGCCGCCTAGGCCGATTTTTTGGCCGACTAGACCGACTAGGACTCTACGGTTAGGGCCGCCTAGGCCGCCTAGGCCGATTAATCGGTCCGCCTAGGCCGATTTTTAGAACAATGGTGATGACTAAGTAGAAACAGTTGACCACCCTTGTTTTGTCCTCGTAGATGGTTGAGACCACGGATTTTCAGTTCGTCCAGTTCTCTGACCTTATCCTCTTTTCGCCAGATGTTTTCTCTGATTTCCTCTTGAAAGGGAGCGTTGATGTCGATCTTTTCCCAGGGCTTCTCATTTCTGGGCATTTGAGCCGCCGTTTGTCTAATGATTGACTCAAGATCCTTGGGTGGTGTCTCGTAGTTCTCTCCCTCCTTGAGTTCATCTTGATCAAGTAGAATCACATCAGTAGCACAGTTGACTAAGAGATCTCTGAGGTATGCTCTTCGCTGTGATTCATCTACATCTGTCCAGAGTTCAGACCATTTGTTGTGCACTAGCATTTCCTCAAGTTCATCGTGCATTCCGTCCTTGTAGTAGCTGGAGGGAGCCTGTTGCTGCTGTGGCGACATGTCGGGCGTAGCATCGGGATCCTGGTGAGACTTGCAGGGATCCTCAATTATCTCAACACGATGCTCTTGCGCAGAGACCAGACCTTTATACTTCGTTACATGCGGCCAATCCTCCCTTGGCTGAGACTGGGTGAATCCGGGATCCTTAGGATTGCCCGTTGACATCAGTTTCGAACTAGGTTCTAGCTGATGGCCTGAGTAGGAAGATGTACTCGTGGTAGCATCATCAGGACTTCCATTCCATCCTTGGTCAACATCTATAGGAGATGCGCCTCGGAATGTTTTGTCTAGCTCGACCATGCTAGAGAGAGAGGCTAGGGATTTTTGGCTGGCTGAAGTAGGGGGTTGTTCATTGGTAGAGGTAGAGGGTTGGTTTGGCAATGGGGTTTGGCTTGTAGAAGCAACATGCTCAAGTATCCGCTGGCGCTTGTTCTCCCCCTCATGAGGAGCCGAATCATCAGGATCCTCATGTGAACGTTTAGCGCCACGGAGACTGTCACGGCATGTGTTCTGTGTATCTAGAGCATGGAGAAGGGCTTTTTGAAGAGGGGTAAGGTTGCCTTCTTCCACGTCTAGTATACGGTCAAAGACCTCAGCTACAAGGTCCTCGAAAGGTATGGTTTTGAGGTTGGGTTTGGTCGTTGTGGGGGAGGATACTAGTTCTGTATCCTGGGTTCCCCTTGAAGTGGATGGTTGTTGGTTCTCTATGGCTAAAGGTTTGGAAATAGGTATGGAAATGGTTGGGGGCTGTGTTGTTTGGGGTTTGGGTGGTATATTTTGAACAACTGGGGTACTTCCAGAGTCTTGTGCATTAGCGGTTATTGTTTCATGCACCCATGGTTTAATGGTCTCTAGAAAGCTGTTCAGATATACAAGAATGTCTTCGGGAATGGTGGTACCAGTTACAGGGGTTGTAACTGTTGTCACAGCATCAGTGAAGATAGCTGATGTGTGGCCTGCGTTCAATGATTGAGGCATTGTTGGCGTAGCAGGACTTCCGACCATCATAGTTTGCACTCCGGTCGTTGCGTTCAGGGTGAGTGCACCTGTATGTGCAGTGAATAGTGTAGGTGTCCTAGAAAATTTTAAAAATGTAGGAATGGTGACACCTAGACTCGATGTGATAGAACGAATGGGGGTAGTGGTCCGGGGCTGTTGACCACTAAGTCTCTCAACTGATTCGGAGGGAACCAGTGAGGTCGGAAAAAGTTCCCCTTGAGTTATTGAAACTCCAGCCTGTTGGGAGACTGGAGAGTGGCTGGGAGAGGGCTGTGCATGCGCAGTTGAACCGGATGCTGCGACTTCTACCCGGGAACTGACAAGGTCAGCTCCTGCTCCTAAGGGCGTGGTTCGGTCTATAGTGAGGAAGGTGTCGCAGTCATCGTACAGTGCCAGCTCCTCTTCCACTGCACTCTTCTTTCTCAGCCTCTTCTTAGGCTTGGATGATGCAGACTTATCACTTTTCTGCTTAGAGCGCTGCTCACTAATAATGATCCCCTTGAGTGGTCGGGGTGTGAGAGCAGCCTCCATATCTTCGGATGAGGAGTCAGAGTCTATTCGGATGGCCTTCTTTCCGGCTCTCTTCCTGTTGCTGATCAGGACTCCCTCCATATCATCATCATCTGCATCATCATCATCATCATCTCTTTGCTCATTTCCCTTGGCCATGCTATCGGAGGCCTCACCACCAGCCTTATTAGAAGGGGCCTGGCTTGATGGTTCATCGGCAGTATCCTCAGCATTGGTAGGGTGGCCCTCAGCAGTCTGGGTCCTCTCGGAAGAGTTAGCAGACTGATCATCATTAGGCCGGACTGCCACTGGTTTCTGTGGCTTGGGGGCACTCTTCCTTTTCTTACCCTCACTTGGCTTGGTCCCCTGGAAGGTCCAGCTGGGTTTTGCTGAACCATAGGGACCGTTCTCTTCAGCGACTCTTTGTAGTCAACGACTGCCTTATCCCTTGGGTTTGCTAGATCGAGCAGAGAATCTGGGATAGGCAGTGCTTCAGCCTTGTTGCTGTCTCTTTGAAAGTATTTGAGATTGGGCGCAGTGAAGTGCTTGTCTTCCTTACGCTTAGGAATTGTAGGGGTGGCTTCCATCATATTGTGGATCATCAGCGCCAGCCACCGAGCGTAAGGGATTGTGTTGCCCTTATGATTTTCCTTCATTTTCACTTGATCCATCAGCTCTGTCCAGAAGAGCTGAGCCATGTCATACTGCTTGTCAAAGGCGATCCCGTGGAAGATTTGAAGTATTTGCTTGTTGCACTTGTCATGTCCGGCGTGCTTAGGAGACAGACACTTATTGACCAGGCCGAACAGATTCTTCCACGGGTGAGGCAAGTTGGAGATTGTAAAGTTTGACAACAGGGGCAGTGGGCTGTCATAGCCTAGATCCTTCATCCCCTTGATCAGTTCTTCATTGGTAGGCAGGGGTACGTAGTTCTATAGGACCGGGAGCTTCAGTGTCTCCCTGATTGTGGAGGGTGTGAACACCACTCTCTTGTCATTTAGCTTGGTCATGATCTTTGACCTGTCCTTTTCTGAGGCTGTGTGCATCAGGCCCCAGAATTGTTGTAAATATACCTCCGGCACTGGTTTGGCTTCGTTAAATGCAGACCAGAGGTAATGCTTCTGTAGTATTGACAATATCACTGGATCCTGGCATTTGAAAAGCTTCAGGTCCAGTTGAAAGTTGTTGTCGTACAGTGGGACCCACTTCTCCTTTGGGTACACTGCATGGCTCGGTTGTGCAGTTTTGTCTGTTCCTGACATGATTGACTGAAAGAATTGGGTCAGCACAAATTGTTCATTTGAAAATTTTATTTTTGTTCTGTTTTTGCAAATTTTTCAGATCAGGTGTGTACAGGTGGGACCTCGAGAAAGTATCTGAGTGTAAACCACGAGAACCAACTTCTCGAGGTTTGAATATCGAGAAGTAGGTTCTCGAGGTTTAAATACCGAGAAGCTCTTTTCGATTCTCAAATATCGAGAACTTGGTTCTCGATATGGAAGTATCGAAAAGTCCTTCTCGAGATTTAAACATCGAGAACCATCTTCTCGAGGTTTAGTATCGAGAACCTCTTCTCGATATTTCCAACTTCGAGAAGTAGGTTCTCGGTATTAAACATTGAAAAGACTCTTTTCGAGGTTTAATATCGAGAACCGAACCTCGAATTTTGAAATATCGAGAAATTGATCTCGAGTTCTAAACATCGAGAAAGTGAATTTCTCGAGTTCGTACTCAGAGAATATGTCGAGAACCACCTGCAAATTCACACAATCATAATAATAACCAAATTAAAACTTTTCGAATTCAAGTTTCTAAGTTTGAGAAAAAATAGTTCTCGAGATCCAACTCCGTGAAAAACTTTCTCGAGTGAGATTCGAGAACTCGTTTTGAAGTTCGAAAATCATTGTATCGATGTTGTTGATGATCAAAAACCTTGATTTCTACCTTAAGATTGATTCGAGAGGATTGCGAGAAAAGGATTTAAACTTCGAGAACTCTGGACTTCGAGAAAGCTTATGCGAGAAAGGGAGTTTATGCGAGAAGTCTTTCTCGAAGTCACCTTATATATGCGAAAGTTTTGGGTTTTGGGCCTTGCGGAAGGATTCTGGGCCCGATTGTTTGAGTTGGGCCCAGTTTTTTTTTTTTAAATTATTTTGGGCCCCAAAGAGTTATTTATGTACAGAAAAAACTCCCCCTCAAATTTTGCATGAGAGAGAAAAAAAATACTCACATACTCACTCTTTTTCATCTTTTTCTGATTTTTTACACACGCACTCACACTCTTTTTCTTTCTTTTCTGAGTTTTTATACACACACCCGCACTCTTTTACTTCTTTTCTGATTTTCTCACACACTCACACTCTTTTTCTTCTTTTCTGATTTTCTTACACACTCACACTCTTTTTCTTCTTTTCTGATTTTCTCACACACTCACACTCCTTTTCTGTCACATTTTCTGTTTTCTCCCTCTTTTTATTCGAATTTCTCCCCCTCAAGGTATGAACATACTTCTTCTTGTTTTGTTTTCTCCCTTTTCTCCCCCTCAACACATGCAACGCACACCACACACACACACATTTTATTCAGACCATGGAGATAACACAATTACATAGGATCGAGATTCAACATGCCTAACTTAGATACTAGGAACTGGGATCTCTTTTCATCCAGTGCCTTAGTAAATATGTCAGCCAGTTGAAGCTCGGTGCTAACAAAGTATAAATCAACATCTCCCTTCTCTACATGGTCCTTGATGAAGTGATAACGCAGGTCGATGTGCTTGGTGCGCGAGTGATGAACGGGGTTGCTGGTTATGGCGATTGCACTCTGGGAGTCACTGTAGATCGGGATGTGATTGAACAAGAAGCCATAGTCTCTGAGCTGGGTCCTCATCCATAGGATTTGTGAACAACACCTGGCAGCCGCAACATATTCTGCTTCGGCTGTAGAAGTTGACACACAGTTCTGCTTCTTGGAGGACCAACAGACTAGCTTCTCTCCCAGAAATTGAGCACCACCGGATGTACTCTTTCTGTCTAGCTTACAACCTGCGAAATCAGCATCTGAGTAACCAACAAGGTCAAAACCCGTATCCTTGGGATACCAAAGGCCTAAGTTGACTGTTCCTTTCAAGTATCGCAGAATTCTCTTTACTGCATTCAGATGTGATTCCTTAGGATTTGCTTGAAAGCGAGCGCACGGGCAGGTTGCGAAGACAATATCCGGTCTACTAGATGTCAGGTACAGCAAGGAACCAATGATTGCCCGATAGTTGGTAGCATCGACTGATATCCCAGAAGGGTCAGAGTCGAGCTTTTGTGAGGGAGACATGGGGGTTTTCATGGTTGACTTGTTGTCCATCTTGAATCTTTTGAGCATTTCATGGATGTACTTCGACTGGCTGATGAATATTCCGTCTGGCAATTGCTTGATCTGTAGCCCTAGAAAGAAGTTCAACTCTCCCATCATACTCATTTCAAACTCAGTGCGCATCAAGTTGCTGAATTCTTCGCAGAAGTTCGGATTGGACGAGGCGAATATGATGTCATCTACATAGATTTGTATCAGCATGATGTCACTGTTCTCTCGCTTGATGAAAAGAAATGGATCTATCTTCCCCTTCGAGTAGCCTGAGTGCACAAGGAAGTCAGATAGTGCATCATACCAGGCTCTCGGTGCCTGTTTTAGTCCATATAGAGCTTTCTTCAGCTTGTAGACATAATGTGGGCGTTCAGGATCAACAAAGCCTTCTGGTTGTGCCACGTAAACTTCTTCTTTCAGTTCTCCATTCAGAAACGCAGTCTTTACATCCATTTGATAGACGGTGAAACTCTTATGAGCAGCATAAGCAAGGAACAACCTGATTGCTTCAATTCTGGCCACTGGTGCAAAGGTTTCATCATAGTCAATTCCTTCTTGTTGGTTGTATCCTTTTGCAACCAGTCGGGCTTTGTTCCTTATAATTACACCGTTTTCATCCTTCTTGTTCTTGAAAACCCACTTGGTGCCAATTATTGTTTTCTTTGGGGGTCTCGGCACCAGGGTCCATACATCTAATCTTTCAAACTGATTGATCTCCTCCTGCATTGCGATCACCCAATCAGGATCTGCCAGTGCTTCAGAAACTTTGGTTGGCTCAGATTGGCTGATGAAGCAGGAGAAGAGACATTCATTTGTTGTAGCTGTTCTTGTGCAAACTCCACGACTCGGATCTCCAATAATTTGTTCTGTAGGATGTGCCTTTGTCCATTTCCGCTCGTGAGTTAGAGGGATTGGAGTTATGATGGGGTGATCTGGGTCCTCAAAAGTAGTAGATGTGGTTTGTTGAGGAGTGGAGTGCACAGGGGTCGATTCAGATTCTGTATCTGCTTGAGCTGGTATTTCTGAAACTTGTGCTGGTGAAGTTGCTTGTGTTGCTGCTGATACGTTTGTAATTTCCGTGTGTTTATTTACGTTTTTAGTTAGTTTTGGTTGTTTAATATTTCGGAAATTACACACTTTCGGTGTAATAGTTTAGTTTGTTAAATGCTTGTAATTTGTTTAGATTAGGTTTATTCTGAGCTTAAACAGGTCCAATATCAATCAAATGATCAATGATGAAGGAAGGTGCAAGAGTACAAGACAAAAAGAAGGAAAAACTCCTGATTTTGGGGTATACTCGGTCGAGTATACCTTATACTCGATCGAGTACCAATACTGATTTTCAAGGATCCGATCCGGGAACAAATGAACATGCAAGGAAAGATTTGGCCACGTTCTATTGTCATACCCGATCGAGTACACCGACATACTCGATCGGGTATACATATAAAATCTACTCGAGTATTGATCGAGTATTGACCAAATTCAGGTTTCTACACATACTCGATCGAGTATATGTACATACTCGATCGAGTACTCGGCCTGCACTTCAAAAAGCCTATAAATACACCTCCTTTCCTTCACTTTAAGGACACCAATTTCTTTATACTCTTAAGCTCAGTTTAGAATAGCATTTCTTTATATTTCTTTTAGCATGTTTAGTCTCCAAATGAGGAGCTAAACTTCCATTTCTTGGTATTGCTCTTGAAGCTTGTTGATTATTAAAGTTATGAGTTATTTTCTTAACTTCTTTTCCTTGAATATTAATTCTTCCTTTAAATACTATTTCTATATCAATGTTGGGGAGTGTTACTAAGATGACAATTAGTTAACATCTTGACATTGGTCTTAGTAATAGCTATTCCTTCCTCTATGTTAATATTGGGGAGTGTTACTAAGATGACAATTAGTTAACATCTTGAT